TTTTTGGGTAAAAAAAAAAAGAAGAAGAAGAAAGAAAAGAAAAGAAAAGAAAGAAAGAAAAGAAAAGAATAAGAGAAATGCGCGGGTCTGGTCCTTGGCCTCTACAACACCCTGGGCTTTTTTTTGGGTAAAAAAAAAAAGAAGAAGAAGAAAGAAAAGAAAAGAAAAGAAAGAAAGAAAAGAAAAGAATAAGAGAAATGCGCGGGTCTGGTCCTTGGCCTCTACAACACCCTGGGCTTTTTTTTGGGTAAAAAAAAAAAGAAGAAGAAGAAAGAAAAGAAAAGAAAAGAAAGAAAGAAAAGAAAAGAATAAGAGAAATGCGCGGGTCTGGTCCTTGGCCTCTACAACACCCTGGGCTTTTTTTTGGGTAAAAAAAAAAAGAAGAAGAAGAAAGAAAAGAAAAGAAAAGAAAGAAAGAAAAGAAAAGAATAAGAGAAATGCGCGGGTCTGGTCCTTGGCCTCTACAACACCCTGGGCTTTTTTTTGGGTAAAAAAAAAAAGAAGAAGAAGAAAGAAAAGAAAAGAAAAGAAAGAAAGAAAAGAAAAGAATAAGAGAAATGCGCGGGTCTGGTCCTTGGCCTCTACAACACCCTGGGCTTTTTTTTGGGTAAAAAAAAAAAGAAGAAGAAGAAAGAAAAGAAAAGAAAAGAAAGAAAGAAAAGAAAAGAATAAGAGAAATGCGCGGGTCTGGTCCTTGGCCTCTACAACACCCTGGGCTTTTTTTTGGGTAAAAAAAAAAAGAAGAAGAAGAAAGAAAAGAAAAGAAAAGAAAGAAAGAAAAGAAAAGAATAAGAGAAATGCGCGGGTCTGGTCCTTGGCCTCTACAACACCCTGGGCTTTTTTTTGGGTAAAAAAAAAAAGAAGAAGAAGAAAGAAAAGAAAAGAAAAGAAAGAAAGAAAAGAAAAGAATAAGAGAAATGCGCGGGTCTGGTCCTTGGCCTCTACAACACCCTGGGCTTTTTTTTGGGTAAAAAAAAAAAGAAGAAGAAGAAAGAAAAGAAAAGAAAAGAAAGAAAGAAAAGAAAAGAATAAGAGAAATGCGCGGGTCTGGTCCTTGGCCTCTACAACACCCTGGGCTTTTTTTTGGGTAAAAAAAAAAAGAAGAAGAAGAAAGAAAAGAAAAGAAAAGAAAGAAAGAAAAGAAAAGAATAAGAGAAATGCGCGGGTCTGGTCCTTGGCCTCTACAACACCCTGGGCTTTTTTTTGGGTAAAAAAAAAAAGAAGAAGAAGAAAGAAAAGAAAAGAAAAGAAAGAAAGAAAAGAAAAGAATAAGAGAAATGCGCGGGTCTGGTCCTTGGCCTCTACAACACCCTGGGCTTTTTTTTGGGTAAAAAAAAAAAGAAGAAGAAGAAAGAAAAGAAAAGAAAAGAAAGAAAGAAAAGAAAAGAATAAGAGAAATGCGCGGGTCTGGTCCTTGGCCTCTACAACACCCTGGGCTTTTTTTTGGGTAAAAAAAAAAAGAAGAAGAAGAAAGAAAAGAAAAGAAAAGAAAGAAAGAAAAGAAAAGAATAAGAGAAATGCGCGGGTCTGGTCCTTGGCCTCTACAACACCCTGGGCTTTTTTTTGGGTAAAAAAAAAAAGAAGAAGAAGAAAGAAAAGAAAAGAAAAGAAAGAAAGAAAAGAAAAGAATAAGAGAAATGCGCGGGTCTGGTCCTTGGCCTCTACAATACCCTGGGCAAAAAAACAAACAAAAAAAAAAGGGGTAACTTCACTGCAGTCACGAAAACAGTTTGTAATTGCAATTGAAACTGCGTTTTAGCAGTTTAGTCAGGGCCCGAGTTTCAATTGCAGTTGAAACTCGGCCGTATGCAGTTCAGTCAGGGCCCTCGTCTATCCACGAACAGCAGATAAAAATAAAAAAAAAAAAGAAACATCCCTTATGCTGTGATTGCGGTCCGATACAGGATGCTAAATGAAGGGAGGCAGTTAGCTGCCTCGCGTGGAATCCGCCCTGCCTGGCTGGCAGGGCGCTACAAGGACCTGACAACAAGAAACAAAAAAGGAAAACGACCTGTTTCATGTTCCTCACATCCTGGCCAGATACATTCCTCAAAGCACTGGTGAGGTGAGGGCCTTCCCGACGTAGGTGGATTCGCAGTTCCTCGTTTCTTTACTTTCTTATTTCTTCTTTTTCTTTTCTTTTTTTTTGGCCTCCATCCCTGCCCCGAGCCCCCCACTTCTTCGGAGTAGGCTACTCTTGAGACTTCGCGTTTGCCTGTGAAGGGTAGTGCCTGCGAATCTCGGCTGTGGCCGAGATCGGCCCTGGCCAATCTGGGGTGTGGCCGAGACATCTCGGGCGTGGCCAGTCTGGGGTGTGGCCGAGACATCTCGGGCGTGGCCAGTCTGGGGTGTGGCCGAGACATCT